GGTGCTATATGGGCTCCAGGTGGTGCTATGGGGGCCCAGGCAATGTTATATGGGCTCCGGGCAGTGCTATAGGGGCCCGGGCAATGTTATAGGGGCCCCGGGAGGTGCTATAGGGGCCCGGGCAATGTTATAGGGGCCCCAGGAGGTGCTATAGGGGTCCAGGCAGCGTAATATGGGCCCCAGGAGATGTTGTATGGGCCCCAGGCAGTGCTACAGGGGCCCAGGCAATGTTATAGGGGCCCCAGGAGACGCTATAGGAGCCCAGACAATGTTATATCAGCCCTGGATGGTGCTATATGAGCCCTAGGTTGTGCTATATGAGCCCCAGGAGATGCTATATGGGCCCAGACAATGTTATATCAGCCCTGGGCGGTGCTATATAGGCCCTGGGCAGCTTTATGTGGGGCTGGGCAGTGTTATATGGGCTCTGAGCAGTGGTATATGGGCCCCGGATGGTCTTATATGGACCCTGGGTGCTGTTGTAGGGCCCTGCACCGTGTTACAGGGTCTCGCATGGTGTTAGAGGGGCCTGGCTGCTGTTATATGGGTCACGGTTGGTGTTGCAGGGCCCTGGGTGCCGCTGTAGGGCCACGGCTGGTGCCACATGGCTCCGGCCAGCGTTACGAGGGCTGCGGCCAGTGTCACGCAGTGGTGACCGGTGGTATACGGTCCTGGTCAGCATAGCACGAATGGGACTGGTGCTCGTATGGCCATAGCCAGCACTGCCCGGCTGTCAGCCATGTCCTCCTGCTGTGACCTGGATGGTGTCACCGAGCGGTGGCCAGCGTGGCGTGGCTGGTGGCTGGACCTAACTAGCTGCGGCATCGCACAGCCATGGCGTCAGGCGCCGGCGGTGTCACGGGGTGGTGGCGGTGGTGGTGTCACGTGGTGGTGGCCCCAGCTCGGGGACCAGCCCAGGAAACCCAAGAAGGGGAAGTTGGGTGTTGGGACCGTGGAGCCGAACAGGGGACGTGGGGGAAACGGGGTGACCCCCCACCGTCCCCGCACGTTGCCACCATGTCGCTGCCCTCTGTCTACCAGAACAAGTTCGCCGAGAAGCTGACGATCCTCAATGACCGGGGACGGGGCGTCCTGGTCCGCATATACAACATCAAGAAGGTGGCTGCAGGGTGGTGGGTGGGCAGGGTACCTGGGTCCCCTGGGAGGGGGAGGTTTGGGGTACAGGACACCAGGGTACACCACCCCATCTAATGGGGAAGAGCCTGGCTTCTTCCTGGAGCAAGGGTTGTGAAGAAACACGGGGCGGTGGGATCGCTGGGGTAGGGGGGTCTGATGGGGGGCTCCGAAGCCAGGAAGCGGTTTTAGGGGGGTCTGATGCTGGGGGATCCCTACAGACCTGCTCCGATCCCAAGACACGGCCGCCCTTCCTCAGCGACAAGGCCATGGAGCCCTCCGTCAAGTTCATCAACAAGAAGTTTCCTCACCTGGATGTGCGGAGCAGCACGGTGAGGGACTGGGGTGTCCCCTCTGTCCCAACCCCCCTGTTCTCCCCTCCCCCCCATCCTGTGTCAGTCCTACCTGGGTGTCCCCTCTGCCCCCCACCCTGTGTCACCCCATCCCCAGTGTCCTCACCATCCCCACCCCATGTTGCCCCAATCCAGTGTCCACCCTGGCCCTCATATGTCACCCCTGCCCGTGTCACCCCACTTTGTGTCACCACCACCTGGCTTCTACTCCATCGCCTGCCTTTGATCATCTTGCCACCCCCTGTCCCATGTCACCCCTCCCCGGGTGTCCTCCCTGGGTCACCCCACTCCCGGTGTCCCCGCTGTCCCTTTGCAGCAACACCTGGGGCCGGTGCACAAGGACAAGGGGGACATCGCTCGGGTGCTGGGACCCTTTTACCACTCCTTCCTGGACGTTCTGGAGTTCAGGGTGAGCTGGGGCATGCGGTGGGGGGCAGAGAGGGGTTTTGGGAGGTAGTGCCAGCATTTCAGACACGGGGGGGGGCACAGCAGTGACACAGCCCCTTGTCCTCTCCCTGCCAGGACCATGTCTACGAGCTGCTGAACACCATCGATGCCAGCCAGTGCTTCTTCGACATCGTGAGTGGGGCACAGGGGGTCCCAGGGGGAGTACTTTGGGGGGTGCCACGGGCCATGCCCACGTGTTCACGGTTGTCCCCTCCCCAGCACGTCAACTACGACTTCACCAAGAGCTACCTGGACCTGGTTGTCACCTATGTGTCCCTCGTACTGCTGCTGGCTCGCACTGAGGACCGCCGGCTGCTCATCGGCATGTACCACTGTGCCCACGAGATGAGCCACGGCACCAGGTGGGTTGGATCCCACCAGGGCTGTCCCCACTGGGGCTGGCCTTGAGGACCGTCCCCGACCCCTGTGCCACCATCCCTGCAGTGACCCCAGCTTCGCCCGCCTGGGACAGATGGTGCTGGAGTACGACCACCCCCTCAAGAAGCTGATGGAGGAATTTGGGCCGCACACCAAGGTGGGATGGGGTTCCCCCCAGCCAGCGGGGCCACATCCTGCCCCAATCCATCTCTTAGCTCCCCCGCGATGTCCTCCTGTCCCCCAGGCTGTCACCAGCGCCCTTCTGTCCCTCCATTTCCTCTTCGCCCGAAGGAACCAGGGGGCTGAGCAGTGGCGCAGCGACCAGCTCCTCAGCCTGCTCAGCACCACTGGCACCATGCTCAGCCCTGCCAGCTCCGACACTGTGAGTGCCACCGCACCGCGGGGAGTGGGGCAGGTCCTGGGGGAGGCTGCGGGAGGGCTGAGGACGGTGACGTGGTGACGCCTGTGTCCCCAGATGGCCTGCGAGTACCTATCTCTGGAGGTGATGGAGCGCTGGATCCTCAGTGAGTCCTTGTGATGCCCGCGGGTCCCCAGCCCCAACGTGGGCAGACTGGCTCCCGGTTTCGGGCCATCCCCCTGCCCGCTCTGGGACCGGCAAGATGGGCAGTGCCTGCCTGCCTGACGGCTGTGCCCACAGTGGGGTTCCTGGTGTGCCCGGGGGCTCTGGGCTCGTCCCCACAGTGCCTGGAGCTGTGGCGGCTGGCGCTGCAGGGCTCGCTCTACATCACCCTTCTCCGCGACGAAGCCCTCCAGGTCCACAAGGTCACCGAGGAGCTGCTCAGCAGCCTCAAGGGGTAATGGCCGTGCCAACGCCGGGGCCGTGCGGGGTGCTGGGGGAGTGCCGTGGTGGGTGTCAGGGGCTGGGGGGGCTCTGCCAGCAGCCCTGGTGGGTGCCACGAAACTTTGCAGGGTGCCAGGAGGTTGTGCTGTGTGCCGGGGGATTGTGTTGGGTGCAGGGACTGGGGGCTGTGCCAGGGGCTCTCCTGGGTGCCATGCCTGGCACTGCCTGGCCGTGACTCTCTCGCAGGTATGGGAAGCGGGTGGCTGATCTCAAGGAGTGCAAGGAACACGCTGTGGCTCACAGGTTGGGGACTCAGTGGGGAGTCAATGGGTCTGGGGGAGCTGGGGAGGGTCCCAGGGATTCTGGGGAGCTGGGAGGTCCCAGGGCACCCCAAAGGATTGCAGGGTCCTGGGGGTCCCATGAGTCCCAGAGAGTGGGGGGTGTCCCAGGAGCTCCTGGGGCGGTGTCAGCACCCTGGGGGGCAGGGGCTGGGGTGCCCCGATCAGGTCTGTGCTGGCCCTGTGCCATAGCCCCCACCTTTGCCACATGGTGCCTGTGATGTCCCCACTGGGTGAGAGGGGTGGCTGGGGGGGTCAGTTGGGTGCCCCTGGCCCTGACCCCCACCCTGACCCCCACTGCAGCGGCTCCCTGCACCGGGGCCGGCGGGCATACCTGCGTGGGGCTGTGCGGGAACTGGAGGTGCTGCTGGAGGACCAGCCTGGGCTGCTGGGACCCAAGGTGAGGATGGGAGCAAGAGGGCAGTGGGGGGCTGGAGGGGCAGGGTTTGGGGTGCAGGGGGTGTGTGGGTGCAGGGTGCTGGGTGCCAGGCTCTGCATGTGCCCAGGGGTGTGAAATGGGTGCGGGTGGGGTCTGTGTGGGGGGTACTGCTGGTGCCAGCCTGGTGCCATGGGGTGACAGCACCCAGGGCTATTGGTACCAATCCAGTGGCAGTGCCTGGTGGCAGCACCCCGTGCCTGGTGCCCTCTAAATCCTGCTCCTCTGCTCTGCCTAGGCTCTCTTCGTCTTCATGGCGCTGTCCTTCTGCCGGGACGAGGTGAGCTGGCTGGTGCGGCACGCTGAGCATGTCACCAAGACCAAGACGCCTGAGGACTTTGCTGACAAGTAGGCACAGTATGCAGGCACCGGCTCTGCGCAGGGGGAATCCATGCCCGTGGGGGCCACCCCCAGCCGTGGGCAGGCTGGTCTCATGGTGGGGATTTCCCTGGGGCAATACCAGAGTGCAGCTGGCACTGGGGGGGCTTGGGGGGCACAGCCAGACCTGGCTCTGACCGGCGGCTCCTGTGGCAGCCACATCGCGGAGCTGCTCTTTCTCATGGAGCAGCTGCGGAGCCTGGTGCGGCGGCACGTTGGGGTGCTGCAGCGCTACCATGTCCAGTACCTGGCCCGCTTTGACGCCCTGGTTCTCAGCGAAGTCATACAGGTACCATGGGGCACTGGCAGGGGGTAATCTGTGTCCCCCATTGGGGCTGTCCCTGTCCCCTGTGCCCTATCCTGTCTGTCCTTTATCCTGACCCTATCCCTGACCCCACAGAACCTTTCTGTGTGCCCTGAGGAGGAGTCCATCATCCTGTCGTCCTTCGTCAGCTCCCTCTCGGCTCTCTCTGTCAAGGAAGGTACGGACTGCGTCCCCCCTGGCATGACCCTGGCACTGCCTGGGGACCGATATCCCCCCTGTCCCGGGAGCCCTGCAGCAATCCTGAGCCGTGCTGGGCACCCAGGCACAGGCTTGTGGGGCAACGGGGAGATGGCAGCTCCTGGGGATCCTGTGGAGTGGGCACTGTGACCCCAAGACTGGCACCCCCAAACTGGCACCCCCAGGACCAGTACCTCCAGATCAGCACCCCCAGACTGATAGTCACCCCAGCCCCCTCCCCACAGCCATGTCTCCCCACGTTTCTCTTTCCCCGCAGTTGATGACAAGGAGCAGTTTGATTTCACACCGCTCCGCCTGGACTGGTTCCGGCTGCAGGTGCTGTCACTGTCCCTGTCCTTGTCCATGTCCCTGTCCCCATCGCAATCTCCATGCTTGTTCCCGTCCCTGTGCCAATCCCCTTCCTCTCTCCCCATCCCTGTCCCCATCCCCTTCCCTATTACTGTCCCCATCCCTGTCCTTGTCCTCGTCCTCTTCCCCTGCCCTGCCATGACCCTGAGCCCGCTGTGCCCCCAGGCCTACACCAGCGTGGCCAAGGCCTCGCTGCCGCTGGGCTCCAACCACGACGTGGGTCGCGTCATGAACCTCATCGTCTTCCACACCAAACTGCTCGACTCCCTGGAGGAGCTGCTGGCCGAGGCCTCCGACCTCTCCGACCTGTGGTGAGCGCAGCCACCTGCTCTGCCTCAGTTTCCCCACAGTCATGGGGGGTGACCCTGGCTGGGGGTCTCTGAGCCGCGTCCTGCACCCCAGCACGCATGGAAAGGTGCCCATGTGTGCTGGGTGACGGGTGTGGGAAGGGACGGAGGTGGCTGTGGGGGACATGTCACCCATGGGAGAGGTTGGGCAAGGTTAGGTGACATACACATGGACACGGGGACAAGGACAACACGCACGTGGCACAGGAACAGAGTGTCCAGAAAGACAAATACCCTCTCCTGCCCTCCCTGCCCCCTCCTTCTGCCCCTCTACCCCCATCCTTGCAGTTTCTACCCTCGCCCCGTGGAGAAGATGTTTGTGGCAACGATGGAGGAGCCCTCGATGCTGCGCTACAGTATCGCCTTCCCTCTGCTCTGCAGCCACTTCTCCCGCTGCATCCACCCCATGTGCCCGGAGGAGGTGGGTCCTGCTGCCCAGGGGGACACGGGAGGGGGACACAGGGGTCCATGTGGAGCCAGCCATGGCTGGCTGCTGCCCTGCCACCTGTGGAGGGGACGATGGCAGCCCCGTGGCCTAGGGGCAGCTGGTGGCACGCTGCAGATGTGGCCATGGTCCGCATGCTGTGCCGTGACAGTACCGTGGCTTTCCCCCCACAGTATCCCCACCTGAAGGCCATAGCGCTGGGGCTGTGCAACAAATTCCTGGAGGAGATGGCCCGGCAGGCCAGCACCTGTGTCATGGATGCCTGTGCCGAGCAGCACAACCTCAGCGAGCAGGTGAGGGTTACGTCTCCAGGGCTTCAGAGGTCTTTGTGGCCTTTGGGGTTGCTGTGACTTTCAGGATCTCTGTGGCCTTTGGGGTCTCCAGGGCTTCTGAGGTCTCCGTGACCTTGAGGTCTCCATCACCTTCAGGATCTCTGTGACCTTAGGGGTCTCTATGCTCTCCAGGCTCTCTGTAGTCTTTGGGGTCTCCAGGTGGATTTTGGTGGCTTTTTGTGGCTTCCAGGGTCTCCATGGCCTCTGGGGTCTCTGTGGCCTCCTTGGCCTCCATGTTCTCCAAAGCCTTGGGACAGCTTTGTGGGGGAAGACCTGGCAGGGTGTCGCCCCCAATTCAACCTTGGGGATGATGGCCTCTGGTCCTGGAGGCCCTGCTTGAGTTGTCCTTGGTGCCACAGCTCGTGGTAACCTGCTGCCCATCTCTGGCAGCTGCTGCCCAAGCACTGCGCCTCCACCGTCAGCAAAGCCCGCAACAAGAAGACAATGAAGCAGCCGGCCAAGAAGGGGGAGCCTGAGCGGGACAAGCCAGGGGCTGAGAGCCAGAGGAAGGACCGGACCCTGACCACCAAGTGAGAGCCAGCTGGGGCTGGTGAGGGTGGGCAGGGGACTGGCAGGCAGTGGTGGCCACCAGCCGTTGGGTGTGGGCATGGTGCGACGTGGGGGCACGGCGTGACCGTGGGGTTGTCCCCATGGGGCTGCGGTGTGGCTGATGGTGCCTGTCACCCCTACACCAGCATGGACAAGCTGCACCTGACGCTGGCTGAGCTGTCCCTGAGCCTTAACCACGTGCCCAACTTCACCGTCTTCGAGCACACGGTGACACCGGCTGAGTACCTCAGCAGCCACTTGGAGACACGCCTCACCAAGTAGGGACCATGCCAGGGACGTGGGACACGGCAAGGGTGGGCTGTGGGCGCTGCCAGGGAGGGGGCACTTGGCCACAGCTCTCCAGACAGCCCCCTCCTGTCCCTGCAGGGCCATTGTGGCCATGGCAGGCTACAGCCAGGCCACGCAGGAGGTGGCCCGACCCTCGGAGGTGCTGGTGGGGCTGAGCGCCTACATGACCTTCATCCAGTCGCTGGGGCAGTTTGTGGGCTTGGACACGGGGCGCATCATCCGCAGTGTCCTCCTGCAGCAGACGCAGCCCCGCGACGCTGCCGGCGAGCAGACGCTCACCACCATCTACACCAACTGGTGGGTGCCGTGCCGAGACTGGCACCTTCCCTCCCTCATGGGAGGTGGCCCTGCGGTGCCGTGGGTCACGGTGCGGGACGGCGGCAGCAACTCGGTGTCCTCAGGTACCTGGAGGCCCTGCTGCGGCAGGCCAGCACGGGGGCCATCATCCTGGCCCCAGCCCTGCAGGCTTTTGCCACGGTGCCCCAGGAGGGCGAGCCCCACTTCAGTGCCGCCGAATTCTCCGATGTCTCAGGTGAGGGATGCGGGGATGCTGTGGGGAGGGGATCATCACCCCCCGACCATGCTGATGTCCCTGTCCTTGTCCCCCTCCCCGCAGAGATGCGGGCGCTGGCCGAGCTCATCGGGCCATACGGCATGAAGTTCCTGAGCGACAACCTCATGTGGCACGTGGGCTCCCAGGTCACTGAGCTGAAGGTAGGGCTGAGGGCTGGGACCAGGGTCAGGGGACTGAGACCAGGATCAGGAGACTGGGACCAGGGTCGGGCTGCTGGGACCGGGCTCTGGAGCACAATTTGACAGGGCAGGCAGGGACACCCTGGAGACCATCCCAACCTCCTGCCTGTCCCATGGGCTCGCTGGCCAGTGTGGAGAGGGGACAGAGGGGCCAAGACACCTCTGTCCCTCCCTGGCCGGCTGTGGGCTTGCCGTGTCCCTGGTGCCACCAGCTCCACGTCCCCTGCAGAAGCTGGTCAACGAGAATATGGACACGCTGGTCCAGCTGCGCTCCAGCTCCTGCAAGCCCGAGCAGATGGCGGCTCTGCTGCCCCGACTGACCTGTGAGTCTGGGGTGGCACTGGGCACGTTGAGGGGGGAGCCTGGGGCTGGCACACATGGGTGTGCACACACACGCGTGTCCCCACTGACCCCTCTCCTGCAGCGGCCGAAAACGTCCTGAAGCGCATGACCATCATCGGGGAGATCCTGAGCTTCCGTGCCATGGCCCAGCAGGGCCTGCGGGAGGTGGGTGCCCGCCACCCCATGGGTCGCCCAACCCCATGGGACCCCCACCCACAGACCCCACAGCCCAAGAGGTCAGCAGGAGCTCTGTGAGCATCCACCTTCTCTCTGCAGGTCTTCTCCCACCACTGCCCCTTCCTGATGGGCCCCATCGAGTGTTTGACGGACGTTGTCACCCCCGACACCGACATCCAGGTGGGCACGGAGGGGGTCGGGGGCAGGGTGGCACCTCCAGTGCTTGGGACAGGTGTCCCCAGGCAGGGCTGGTTGCTGCCGTCCCGTACCCTCCGCGTCATGTGGCACTGCATGGTGCTACAGGGCACTGCCTGGCATTGCGTGGCACTGTGTGGCATTGCATGGTCCCCCGTGCCTGGCTGCACCCCGTGTCCCCAGTCCTGGGCCTGAACGTCCCCGTACCCCCAGGTCACCCTGAGCATTTTTGAGCTGGCCTCGGCTGCGGGGATCCCCTGCGAGGTCGACCCCGCGTTGGTGAATGTCCTCGCTGGCAGCAAGACAGGTACCGTGGGGGTCTGCTGGGTTCGTGGGGGGCTGTCCCTGAGATCTGTGACCCTGCCAGCTTCCCCCATCCTGTGTCACCTCCCTGGGTCCTCTGGGGTCCCCTCTTGGACCCCTGTCTAGTGTCACCTCCCTCCCTGGCAGATGGCTCATCCCCGGAGGAAGACTACAAGGTGGCCTGCTTGCTCCTGGTCTTTGTGGCCGTGTCCCTGCCCCTGCTGGCCTCCGACCCGGCGTCCTTCTACAACACCGAGGTGGACGGTGAGGCTTGGCCGTGACCCTGGCGGCTTTGTCCCTGTGTCCCCAGTCCTGGCTGTGTCCCCATGACCGTGACACCACAGTGCCCTGGTGTCGCACCTTGTGTGTGCTGGGATCCCCGAGGTCGTCGGTGCCCCATAACCACAGCTGAGGGTTGGTGGGGGCAGCGGGACCCCAGGACTGGCAGGGCTGGTGCCCCATAACTGCAGCCAAGGGAGGTGGGCACAGCTGAGACCCTGTGCTGTCCCCAACCTACCCGCGTCCCCAGGCTACAACAACAACATCCACTGCCTGGCCAAGGCCATCATCCACGTGTCGGCCGCCCTCTTCACTGTCCACAACAAGAACATCGAGACCCACCTCAAGGAGTTCCTGCTGGTGAGAGCGGCCAGGGGCCACAGCTGTGCCTGGCGGGGGGTGGGCACCCTCCCTGGGTTGGGCACCGTCCCCAGTGCTGATCAAGATCCGTCCCTCAGCTGGCCTCCGTCAGCCTCCTGCAGCTTGGCCAGGAGACGGACAAGGTGCGTGCCAGGAACCGCGACTCCATCTCCCTGCTGATGCAGCTGGTGAGTGACAGCAGACCCCGGGGTGCTGCTGGGTGGGCTCCGGGCTGTTTCTTGGTGGGCACATCCCAGCTCCGTATCTCTGCTGGGCTCCAGCTCTGTCCAGGCTGCTCCAGCCCCCAGATGGCAGCTGGGTCTGGGTGCTTAGCCCTTGCCCAGCTCTGGTTGGGCCCAGGTGGGGGGGCTGGATGCAGCTCTGACACCCCCAGGTAGAGGCTGGGCTGACTGGGTGGGGGCCACGCACCCACCACCCAGTATTGGTATTCAGGGAACGCTTGTCCTCGCTGCAAAGCAATTTAAATGCAAATATTTCAGTCTGGAGCTGGGGCACAGGAGCCATCTGGGGAGGGAGCACCCAGCTCTGGCGGGGAGGGGCTGGGGGCCGGCTCCCTGCTCTGGCAAGGGGGGAAACTGAGGCAGGGGCAGCTGCTGATGTGTGTGTGTCCCCTCTTTCAGATCGTGGCAGAGTCGTCCTTCCTGACAGTGGACATGCTGGAGACCTGCTTCCCCTACGTCCTGCTCCGCAACGCCTACCGCGAGGTGTGCCGGGAAAACATGCTCAGCAGGGTCCCCTCGCACTGAGCCTGGCCCCGTGTTGCCCCTTCCCCTCAAACCCCTGCAATTACCCCGCGTCGGGACCCCCGGGTCCTCCCTCAACTGCTAGATGCCACCACGGTGTCCCCAACCATCCCCATCCTGTCCCCCAGCCATCTCCACCTTCACTAAACCATTTTTCCCCCAATGGCTGTGTCTGACTCGTGGCTGGGGGGGACTCAGGGAATATTTGGGGCTGGCTCAGCCCCAGCACCCTAGGGTGGGTACCCAGCCTCGTGTCTCCAACAGTAATAACCTCCTGCGGGTCCCCCATGGGTATTTGGGAGAGTCTGGGGATGGCGGGGGCCTTGTGGGGCTGGGACATTAAAGGAGTGGAGCTGCTGGCAGGATTTACCAGCTTTAATTAAAGCTGCCACTTCTCATGGCAATGATCCTGGCCGGCCTCGTGCCTCAGTTTCCCCTCGCTTGCCCAGCTGAGGATGTTTCAAGTCACGTTCCCCCCCCCCGCCACCCCTTTCCCCAGTCTCAGGGTGTTTATTTTTCTCCCGTGCAGCATCCCGGGGGAAAATTAATGGGGCGAGGGAAGGAGGCGGCGGGGCGGCCGTTGCCATTCCGCTCACGGCCGGCTGCTCCGGGATGAGTCACCGGCCGTGCCGGGAGTGTGGGGGGGGCAACGGCGGCTGCCGTGGCCACAAGCCCCCCTCGGCAGAGCCCCCTTGGGAGGGCCTGGTGGTACCAGGGCTGGGGGGAGGCCGAGCGTGCGGGCCCCGGCAGCCAAACCGAACCGCAGCCGCGATCGCACGATCGAGCACAAGCATGCGGCCGCATCATCCGGCACTAATTGCTTTATTAATTCATCCGGGGGGGAAAAATTGCTCTGGAGCGGGCTGGACTCCCCCGCTGCCCCCCTCCGGCTGTGCTCCCGAGGGGCTGAACTCCCCCGAATTAACGCCCAGAACCTGCTGATTATTCCAGATTGCTGCAAAAGTCTATTTTCGCGCTCATCAATCACGATATTAAGTGGTAACGAGCTACCGAGGCTCCCCGCCGGCAGCACGGCTTTGTCTCGCGCGCATCTCTGCCCACGGCCTCTCCCGCGCCTGCCGCCCCCTGTGCCCCCCGCCTCAGGCTTCTCTGCGCCATGGGGTGCCCCCCTTTGTTCAAGGTGCTGCCCCTAAGCTGGCTTTGAGCCCCCGAAAAGTTTGAGGACCCCAAAATGTCCCCAGCGGGGTATGGGAGCTCCCACGCCATGTGCTGGGGCTGGCAGCCCACTCTGCTGACCCCAGCATGTAGATGGGGGTCCCATGGGTGCCGCCCCTGCACCCACAGGGCACCCCACCGAAGTGGGGAACCTCCATGGGAGGGGGTACAGCCCCCTTTATAGAGGCTAAACGGATGCATCCCTGGGCAGCACCCATGGGTGCTAGCCATTGAAGGCCAGGAGGTGACATGGCCTGGCAGGCAGGGACCTGGCTGAGCCACTGGGGACAGTGGGCCAAGGTGGGGGCTTGGGGATGGCACCCTGGGGGGGCGGGGGGGGGCCCACCTGGTCCCCCGGTGCCGTGGTGGTGGGTGCTGCACACACCTACGGCATTACATAAGGGCTTATTAATATTCCCCGGGGGCTGCAGCTCGGCGCGTGCCGCGGGAGGCAGCGCGGGTGCTGCTGTGCCCCCCCAGCTTGCTGGGACCCACCCGGGGCTCTGGCACCCCGATATCCCCCCCCTGTGTGTGCCCAGAGCCCCCTGAGCCCTCAGCATCGGCCCCTGCACCCTGAGGTTTCCCAGTGGGACACAGACGGCATGAGGGGGGGCACAGGGTGGGGGACAAGCTGTGTGTGGGGCAGGGGGGCCTTGGGGCAGGGATGGGGTCCCCTCGAGCTCAGGCTGCTCCCAACCCCCCCCACACCCCCCAGCCCAGGGGGGTGATGCCCTAATAGGCGAGAGGCCCAGCAGCCCCCCGGGTTTGGGTAGGTCCTACAATAAGTCAGGGGGCTGCCGCTGCCCCGTGGTCAGTGGGAGGGGATGGTCTCTGGTGTGCGTGTCACCGGCCTCGGTGACGTGTGATGAACGGGGCAGGTCTCAGCAGGGAGCAGGGGGCCTGGGGGAGGTGGGGGTCACGGTCCCCCCCGCCCCAGCCTGCTGCTCGGGGCAGACCCCCTGTGTGGCATGGGGGAGGCCACGGCCCCTCCGTGGGGGGGCACCGAGCCAGGGGCTCTGGCCCCTTCCCGGGCTGCCAAACCCAGTGAGAGACCCCCAGAACCCCATGGGGATCCCGGGGCATCTGCCCCCCCATAACTCCACAGGGATCCTGGGGCACCTGAGGTCCTGGAGTACCCCCCCATAGGGGTCCTGGGGTACCACCCCTACAGCCTCATAGGGGTTCTGGGGGACCCCCCCATAGGGGTCCTGGGGTACCACCCCTATAGCCCCATAGGGGTCCTGGGGGACCTTCCTCTCCCACAGCCCTTATGGGGGTCCTGGACCCCCCCCCCCCCTTGGGGGGGGGGTCCCGGGGCATCTCCCCCTCCCCAACATCTCCCCGTGGGGGTCCCGGG